TGACCAGTGTTTACTAATGGATTTTGTTGTTGTGATGTGTTCCCCTCCCCCCTTTTGATGAACTGTATTTGGCTTATTTATTCTTTGTGTCCTCTTGGGTGTAGTTAACCTCTTGAGGCTGGAGTTTTCCTTCTAGTGTTTTCTGTAGAGCTAGATTGGTAGACATAATTTGCTTGAAATTGTTTTGTATGAACTGTTTATCTTTCTCCATCAGTTGTGATTATAGTTTTGCTAGGTGTAGTAGTAGCCAGGCTGGATCTGTGGTTTTTCATGCTTGTTGAACATCTGTTCAGGCCTTTCTGGCTTTCAGAGTTTCCAGTGAAAAGTCAAGTGTTAGTCTAATGGGCTTGCCTTTATAAGTAACTTGGTTTTTCTCCTTGCAACTTGTAATACCCTCTCTTCCCCATATTCATTTAGTGTTTTAATTTTTATATATTGTGGGGAGTTTCTTTTCTGGTCCTGCTTCTTTGGTGTTGTGTATGCCACTTGTACCTTGATAGGTATTTCTTTAGATTGGAGAAATGGTGTATGATTTTGTTGACAATATTTTGTGTCTTTGACTTGGGTTTCTTCTGTACCTATTATTTGTAGGTTTTGTCTTTTTATAGTGTCCCAGATTCCTTGGGCGTTTTGTGCCTGTTTTTTTCTTTTCTTTTTTTTAAAAGATTTAACATTTTCTTAGTTTCCTTTTCCTCTATCCTGTCTTCAAGATCTGAAATTTTCTCTTACACTTCATTCAGTCTGTTGGTGAGGCTTAACTTTGAACTTTTTGTTTGACTTCCTGAGTTTTTCATTTTGAATTTTGTTTCAGTTTGGCTTTTCTTTAACAATTCTATTTCTTTGTTAAATTCTACTTTCATATTTTGAGTTGTTTTTGTTATTTCATTCAACTGTTTGTGCTTTCATGATGTTTATTAAAGTATTTATTCATGTCCTCTTTAAGGTCCTGAAATATATTCATAACTGCTATTTTAAAGTTCTAGTGCTCCAGCTAAGTCACTTTTCTCAGGGCCAGGATTTCTGGCTCCTGGGAAGGTATATTGTCTTGGTTGTCATATTTGTGTTTCTGAGCTGAGATTGTGACATCTGGAGTTATGATGTTAATGGTGTTCTTATTTTAGCTTATTTTGGGTGAGTCTTGCTTATGTTGGTTGGATGTTCATTTCTTTGGTTGTTGTGGTGCTTTGAATGTAATTGGTCCCCATAATCTCACTGGGGATAGCACTATGAGGAGGTGTGGCTTTGTTGAAGTGGGTATGGCCTCGTTGGAGGAAGTGTGTCACTGTGGGGATGGACTTTGAGATTTCCTATGTTCTGGATTCTGCCCAGTGTCTCAGTTGACTTCCTGTTGCCTGCAAGATGTAAGACTCTCAGTACCACATCTGTCTTCCTGCCATGATGATAATGGATTAAACCTCTGAAACTGTAAATGAGCCCCCTCAGTTAAATGTTTTCCTTATAAGAATTGCCATGGTCCTGGTGTCTCTTCACAGCAACAGAAGAAGCCCTAACAATACAATTGCTACTAACACAATATGAGTCACAACCAAATGTGGTAGCCATGGGTCCTTGGTAGAGAGCAGTTCTGTGAGTTGGTATTGAGTCACAAAAGAAAAGAGGTGGCTGTCCCAGCCAAGTGTGGTGGCTATGGCTTCCCTGATGGAGAGTGGTTCTGAGTCTCAGCCAAGTATGTAGCTGTTGGTCCCTGTTGAGACCTTGTTCTGTGGATTGCTGGGGGTTTACAAAGTATTAGAGATGGCCTGGAAGGACTGATTGAGAAGGGTGACAGTCAAAAGCTAGGATGACCCTAACTCTGCAGCAAGAGGCCAAGTCTCAGGGGGATGGAGTTGTGCTAGCATGAGGGGAAGGAGGACATACATAGCATACCTGAGTCCCAACTTAGTGTGGCAGTTATGGGTTCCTGGTAGAAAGCTGTTCTGTGGGTCAGAGGCTACAGGAAATGGCTGGAAGGGGTGACAGGGAAGAAATAGGGGACCCAGGGTCCACACCAAGTGGCAAAGTCCCAAGGGGATGGAGGTCCATGTTTTGGCTTTTTAAAAATGTGGGTTTTGGGGAGTGGACTCAGGTTCTCATGTTTGCAAGACAACCACTTTACTGGCTGAACTGTCCCCCCAGTCTTAGTTTGGAAGTTGATTACAGTTTCAATCTCATTGCTTGTTATAGATGTAATAGATGTAGTTAAATGATGTCATCTTGGATTATTTTGGTAGGTCATATGCATTCAGAGATTCATTCATTTCTTTTAGATTTTCCAACTTAAGGAGATATGGTTTGTTTATAAACAGGGTCCCAATTTATAGCTCTAGCTGGCCAGAACTTGCTGTGTTGACTACATTGACCTTAGCTCATAGAGATCCATCTGCTTCTGCCTCTTGCATGCTAGTGTTAAAGGTCTCTGTGACTTTGCCAAGCTAATGGGATATATTAAGGTTTGTCATAATGATTTTCTGAATTTCCTTGGCATCTGTTCTAATTTCTCCCTTTTCTTTTGGTTAGTTTATCTAAGGATATGAAAACCTTATTTATCTTTTCAAAGAACTAACTCTTGGTTTCTTTGATTCTTTCTCTCCCTCATTTTATTAATTTCCATCTTCCTAGCTATCATTTCTGGGGTTGGTTTGTTTTTGCTTGTCCAATGCTCTCAGGTGTATCATTTAGTTATTTGAGATTTGATTTTTCTTTTTTTTTAAGTAGACACTTGTAGCTAGAAACTGCCCCCCTCAGGATTGATTTCATGATTTAATTGTATCCTGTAAGTTTTGATATGTTGTGTTTTTCCTTTTGTTTAGTTCTAGGAATGTTTAGATTTCCCTCTTAGTTCCTTTGGTGACCCATTCCTTATCCCATAGTGTATTCCTTAAATTCCATGAAGCTCCTCTGACTTAAAGAGACTAGGACTCCATACTCCTATGTTCTCTTTGTTGGGCACAGGAAACATTTCTCATCAGCTCTTTTAATGTCCAGAGGTTATTTTCTACTGAGTTCTGTTTAGAGGGTTATGCAGGTACAGGTGTCAGTGAGTTCTGGACCAACTTGTGCATAAATGAAATATACTTTCTTGGTTTTCATTCACTGACCTCAGTTGCTGTTATTTGACACCCATCAATATACTCTGTCTGTCTGGACTCTAGCAGTCTCTGATACAATGTGTAGAGTCCCTTTGGGCAAGACTTATAACTGTCATCATTTACTCTGTGTTCCTTCTTTCAAGGTACAAGTGTTTAGTTAATGCCTCCTTTTAGATTTCCAGTGCCTCTATAAATTGATTGCTTTTTGTCTGACTTTTTAAAAATTAATTTTTATTTAAATTAAAAACAATTTTATTTTACATACTAATCCAATTTCCTCTCCCTTCCATCCTCCCATTCCCACTACCATACCTCCATCTTAACCCCCATCCACTCTTCAGGGTGGCTGAAGCCTCCCATGGGGGTTCCTCAAAGTCTTTAATAAATAGTGGAGGGTTGGTTTGAAAGAAGCAACTCTGCAGTTATCTTCAGTAGTTCATTAAATTGAGATACAGAGTTGAGTTATTCAATACAAACACCTTTTCTAATTTCCATTTTTTTCTCTTTTGAACTACATATTATAGATTTGCATTTAGTAAGCATTCTAACGTAAAATTCTGAGATCAGACGAGATTGGGCATGGTCAGAGTGGCACGGCCATAGACCTAGCACAAACTTTATTGTATCTCCCCTTCTCCTTTTCCCCCTTTCCCTTCCGTTGCCTTCTTTCCATTCCCTCCCTCCCTCTCTCCCCTCTCCTTCCCTTCCCTTTCTTTGGTTTGTTGCTGTGATGACATAACCTGATACAATCACCTTAGGGGAGGAAAGACTTTATTTTGGCTCGGTGGTACTGCCCATCATAGCGGGGAGAGCATGACAGCAGGCAGGGAAGGCTAGCTGTCACATTTGTCTTAACTCAAGTAGAGAGAGAAGAGGAAGTGGGGATGACCTCTAAGCTTGTCATCAAGAACCTATTTCCTTTAGAAAGCCTTCACCTCCTGAAGGTTTTACATCCTTCCCCAACAGGGCTGCTATCTTGGACATGGTGGTGGTGTTCACACATGAGCTAATAGGGGATACTTTACAGTCAAACCACAGCAAGGTAATTAGCTAGCTTTCTTGCTCTCCTCTCCTCCCCTCCCATCACCTTATCCATATTTTTGGACTTGAATCCAAGGCCTCCTATATTTTAGGAAGAGCTACAGAGAGCTACTGCCCCACGTACAGATTCTGTCTCTCTCTCTGTCTCTCTCTTTCTCTCTCTGTGTCTCTCTCTGTGTCTCTCTCTCTGTGTCTCTCTGTCTCTGTCTCTGTCTCTGTCTCTCTCTCTCTCTCCCCCCCTCTCTCGTTGTTGCTACTGATTTCTAGTATAATCTCACCAAGGCCAGAGCACATACTCTTATAAGTAGTCCGTACTGAATTTGCTGTTTGACAATTTCATACCTGTGCAAAGTGCATCCCGACGCGTTTTTTCACTTTCTCTCAGCTCCCTCCACTTCCCCCAACACGTCTCTTTCCTGGATCCAAGGCATTTGCTTCAAGACATGCTGCATTTGATTTTAATCTTTAAAAGCTTGTTGGTTTAAAAGCAGCATACGGTTGGTCCATTCCTGTCAGTGTTAGAATTCTTGGTGTAGGCACTAGTATCCTGCGTATGTCATCCAGTCACATTGTTTATTGTGTTATAACTGTATTTTAAAGGCCCCCTTCCTTTTTTGGGAATATTTTTATCTGTTGTTGCCCAGATAGTAGCTCAAAAATCCCATATTTAGGTTTCTTATGTCTAATGCAGCTATGTACTGAATCAGTCATAATGCTATTTACTATGTCCTCTACCTGTCCCAAATTTCTTATCCTACCCAATTACCAGATGTATTGTATATTACATTGCTCTAATTTCTACATCAGATTTGTCTTCTATTTCTGTTCCCATTATTATTATTAATTAATTATTATTAATTTATTTTAAAGGAAAAGATAGAGTGTTCAACACCCCATTGTGTGAACAAGGAATTGTTGGATTTGGGATTGGAATCGCAGTCACTGGTGCCACGGCCATTGCGGAAATTCAGTTTGCCGACTATATCTTCCCTGCCTTTGATCAGGTAGGTGCCACATGCTTTGCCGGGAAAGGCATCTATCTCTTCAGGTCAGTCCCTGAGTGTTCAAACACAGGCTCCGCCCACCTGTCTCCACCTTGCATCATGTTGGCGCTTTGCCTTATGTAGATGGGAATACATCCGAAGATTCAATGGCATGCTTTTAGGACATTCATTGGGTAGGAAAGAGTCACTGTGACATGTCCCCTCTCTCTGCAGATTGTCAACGAAGCTGCCAAGTACCGCTATCGCTCTGGCGACCTTTTCAATTGTGGGAGCCTCACCATCCGGGCCCCATGGGGCTGTGTAGGTCATGGGGCCCTCTACCATTCTCAGAGTCCTGAAGCCTTTTTTGCCCACTGCCCAGGAATCAAGGTATTCTTTTTTTTTTTTTTTAAGATTTTATTTATTTATTATGAATGCAACATCCTGCCTCTACATATGTCTGCACGCCAGGAGAGGGCACCAGATCTCATTACAGATGGTTGTGAGCCACCATGTGGTTGCTGGGAATTGAACTCAGGACCTCTGGAAGAGCAGTCAGTGCTCTTAACCGCTGAGCCATCTCTCCAGCCCTCAAGGTATTCTTGTTTACTTCCTTTATTTGATCATCATTTGATGTTTCCACCTTTCTTTATGCTGTTAGTATTATCCTTCCTTGAAGGAAGGCAACCAGGACTTTGCAATTGATAGGAACTTTATATTTGAGGAAGGGAGGTTAGCATTTCTTTTCAGATTAACTTGCAGATGCCCAGTTTTCTAGAATGTTCTTCCTGAAGCAACACCGTCATGATGTTGGCACTCATTAACTTTATAGATTATAGAGGGTATGCCATTCTCCTAAAATTCCAGGTTCTTCTTTCTAATTGGTTTTTCACCGTGAAATGATTTTGGGGTACGTTTTAACAAAACCTATTGTTGATCAATATTTACCTCAAAGTTGTGTTTGCTTTTAGTTCAGTTTTCAGTTTTAAGCAGAGAGAAGGCTCTTATATAGATGGGAATCTTTTCCAATCTAGAGTAAGGTAACTGTGCCATCTGCTTGGGTGAGTCTTCCATTTGTAGCTGTCTCCTGGAGTAGCTTAAGTCTTTTGATGTTACAAATATTTTGAGTGTTTTGTCTCTTGATATTCATCAAGCAGCTCTCCAGGGAATCACAGAAACTTACAGATGTGTTAGCCAAAGAAGCATGTGTGTGTGTGTGTGTTTGACAAACATAAATCAATTGTAAAAATATTTACATTTTTTCCTTTTTTCCCCCTGCTGGATCATAATCATGAGGTTTGTCCCAGTTGAAGGGAGGCTGTATGGTTTTCTGACACAAGCTGGGAACAGTAGTTTTGGATAAGAGCCACTTTGAGGCAATGCGTACTTTTGAGTTTGAGCTGGATATTGGTCATATTTAATGTTTACATCATATCCTAGAAGTTTTAAACAGCAGAACTTTTAACCATCTACTTGTCTGTTTACTATTATTTTTAAACTTGAAATACAAAATAGATATAACACCAAAATGCTAATACAAATAACTATTTGTAGAAAGCAAAGAGAAACTACAGAATGGAAGCATGGTGTGACATGATTAATAAGGAGATTTATGGTGTTTGATTTTTTTAAAACAAAATTCTTCTGATAAAAATGACACAATTCCCTCAGGGCAGTAAGATTAAGAGTCTGAGGCCAGCCTGGTCTACCTAGCATGGCTTTCTGTCAACCAGATTAAGGGCTGAGGGTGTAGCTCAGGGTGGACCACTTGCCTGGTATGTGTAAGCTAAGGATTTGATTCCACAAAAGAACACAATAGTTAGTATGAAATCCATAGGTGGTTTGCTTCAAGGAGTCTTGTTTGATCTTTGTAGTAGGCCCAGGCTTATTCTAGTAATCTTTTAGAAGTGAAGTTTGTTCTTACACAGTTATTTCACAATCATGAAAACTTAGGTACAAATTTGTGATTTGAGTAGCCATGGTGAAGAGTGTGGTCTTCTGTGTGCATCAGAAGAGAGTAAGAATCTCTGTCCTAACAAGTTCTGTGACCTCGGGTAGTGTCCTTACTTCTCTGTACGCTGTGCCGCAGTCTCTATTTCTAAGTGGGAAACAGGGTAGTAGCTATTTCCTGAGGTCCCTGTAAGGGACAGATGAAATGGCCCACTCAGGGTGCTCTGCCAAGTTTTTTCATGCATTTCTTGCTGTCAATTCTCTTCACCAGCCCCCTCCTGAAGGTCTCGGAGCCCTTGCCTGTCCACTGGAGATGTGGAATAGCCATGCTTTTTCTCTTTTTCTGTGCAACTGGATTCTATATCTGGTCCACAAAATTCCGTGGATTGCTTTTTTCCTTTATGAAGTGCAGGTTGCATTTGCCCATCAGAACAAAGGGGGTCGTGCACTTTCATTGGCAAGCGGTAGCAGAGTGTTAGGAGGAGATGGAGCTTAAAGGTGGACAGCTCTCTTTGCTGCTGCTTTTCATGTGCTTTGCAGGTTCCCTTTCTGCTACAGGCAAGGTGAGGTCCTCAGAGGAAGCTTGGTTTCTTAGTGGAAGGCAGTTTAGAAATACTCGTGGGCAAAGAGATTTCTGAGGGCCAGCACTTATATTTTATAATAAATACAAATACCTGGGTCTGGTTGAATTAGTTACACTTGGTTGGTTAAGTGTCAACCCTTAGAAGTGGGTTTGCTGGAGATGTATTTGACTAAGATTGTTTTGTTTTTACAGGTGGTTATACCCAGAAGCCCTTTCCAGGCCAAGGGACTTCTACTGTCATGCATAGAAGATAAAAATCCATGTATATTTTTTGAACCTAAAATACTTTACAGGGCAGCAGGTAAAGATTTCTTGTATTTTGTATTTGTGACTGTCCTTACATTCTTTTACATGGTTATTTTTTTTAAGGTATTTTCCCCTAAGCTAGATTTTTACTTTCATTACAGATCAAGTTCTGTGACATTTAATTTTGTACTCAGATGTGAACTTCAGAGAAACCCATCTAGTTAGACTTTGATTGTGGAATGTAAAATGTTAACAAGAAGAAAAGATCATGTTGAGTTTTGTTTAGTCATTGTGGGTGGAATGGGAAAGTGAAGGCACTTGTACTTCATGACATTGAAAGTTTGCTTTAGATAGGTGACCCTGGAGGTCCTCTAAGTCAGGGGACTCTGGTGAGGCAGGTTCTGTTAACAAGGTGCTATGGTATCAGGCTTCCCTGGGGGTCTGTCACAGTAAACCGAGATGCTCCGTTTCTCTCCCTTTAGCTCACAAGCCTAATTCTATAAGCACACATCTGTGACTGCTTATTTCTCAGCTGTAATGGAAAATTTAAATATCAAATGATTTATTCTGTCTAAAGTGTACCCCCTCCCCGCCCTGAATTCAAGAACATTACTTTGGCAAATCACTCTTGAACAGTTAACTTTAAAATCACTTGTTTTTGTTGTGATGTAATTTATGTACAATAAAATACACAGCTCTTGTGTTCAGCTTGATGTGTTTTTGACAGCCTCATATATTCATATAGCCACTATACAAAACAAGATGCAGGACACGTCTTTTCCGGTTTGCTTTCTGCCTGTCCATTCCCTCAGCTCTAAGTCTAGTTGCTTTTGATTGCGATTGGATTAGTTGTTCATGTTTCTGGGTTTCGTGGAAGTGGAATTTCACATATACTCTGTGTTTGTCGTCTTCTGTCTAACCTAGTATTACAGAGATTCATCCATGTTATTGCCTGCGTCTAGTTTGTCTGTATTGCTGGGTAACAGCCTATTGTGTGAATACTCATTCATTATTATAACAATTGTGATAATACTGCACAATTGTGGAGAATATTAGGGCATTATTCAGAGAATGAACATTGCCCTTAAATGGTATGAATAGCTATTGTTCATCATTATTATTACTGAGTATATTTGTTATTATTGTAATTGTTTCTACCTAGGAAAGTAGGTTACTTCCTCTCTCTTCAGCAAGCTAATGACCTTTAAATATTATTAGTACATTGCACCTCTAGTTTTGGCTACTAGCTTGCCTGTTAATAAATTGATTAGGAAATGCATCTTGGTTATGAAGAAAAAAAGCACTTGAAAATCTGAAGCGTATACACTTTTGTTGCATAAGTATTACCTTAAGTGAATATTCATTGTACAAATCCACTGTCATTCTTTGTAGGCTCATGCCCTGGGCTCCTATTTCACTTTATAGGTTTTGTTTTTGAAAACTGACTTGTATGGCATTGTTAAGAAAGAGATTTCTCTAAATATAAAGATTATTTACATAATTCCTAAAATGATGCATTTTAAGAATTCTAGGCATAGACTTCCTTAGGAAGCTAAAATGTCAATTATCTAAAAAGTTTCCAGTTATCACTAAAAAGAACTTGGTAGATATAATTTCATTCTATATGTGTATTGTCTATACTTCCTCATTTCAGTTCATATATTTGTGTATTACTGGGGAAGCATATGTTTCTTGACAGTGAAGTATTCTTTTATTTGATCCCAAGTTGATTTTCGGACTTTACATGTCTCTATTCTCTTATGAATTGTTCACATAAGTTTCTGTTTCTGTCTTAGCCATGTAGGAGAACTTTTGTGCATCTAAAACAAACAGGACTGCTGTTAAAAGATGGTAGTTTAATTACTGCAGAGAGTGCCTTGATTACACATTGAGTAGGAAGGAGAGTCAGAGGTTTTCAGTGAACTTGAAGTACAAAGCTACCTTTACATTTGTTGATATGCTTTCTGTGATTGATAAACTGTGCCACTCATGGCCTTGGGCCCAGTAGACTTTCCCTACTTTCCAGATTTAGTTTGAACATTGAACACACATATCTTTCAAGCCTTAAGTTAGTTATAGTCTTAGTGACTAAGCTGATGCCATGTGATGGAGTGATGCATGTTTGTTTCTGTATAAAATTTAGGATCATGAGTCATGGCACTTTGCAACAAGTTCACCCATTTCAGCCCCATAGCCATATATAGTTTATACAGAGACTAAAATAGCAAAAGTTCCCATCTCACTTTCTTCACTCCCAACTCCATTCCTTAGCCCTGGTTCTGTGTATTTATATTTATCTTCACAGGTGACTAGGAGGAACGCACTTGCTTACGTATGAAACATAAAAAGATAGAAGCATTTTCCTGTAACTTACTGTGCACAATTTTTTTCTATAAATTTACCAAAATCTATAAATATATGGTCTAGATACTTGAGTCATAAAGAGCAAGCTACAAGTGTTCTACAAATAGATTTTCTTTAAAATACCTTTCTAATAATTCTTTGGGAACTTCATAAATGTATTTTGATCATATTCATTTCCACTCCTACCCATCCTCCCAATTTTGTGATTCTCCTATCCTCTTAAAAGGCAATCAGGTCCAATTTGTGATGCTTATATACTCCTGGGAATGGGGCTATGCACTGTAGCTTGTCGGACGTACCTGGGGCCACACCCTTAAGAAAAACCTTGTCCAGAAGCCATCAACTGTCAATAGCTCCTCAGTTAAGGGTGGGGCCTTTGGAACCACAAATCCATCGAATAACTTTTCCTCTTGCCACATAGTTGGAGACATTTCTTTCAGTTAACAGAGGTGTCACTGATTTTTACTTCATAAAATATATTCCATACCCTCACCCTTTCCTTGCTAATGAAACATTGAATTGCTTTCTGAATTCTGGCTGTTATGAACAGTGTTGCAAGAAACATATGTTTATATGTGTTAAGTATGTGGGAGAAGCAACCTTCGTCTGTATTAAAATGTCTACGTACAAAACTATATGTATCGTCTGTATATGCAAGTAATAAAGGGCAAGCTATAAATATTCTACGAATATCTTTTCTTTAAAATATATTTCTATTAGTTCATTGATGGAATTATTTCACTAATAGAAATAATTAAAACGTGTTCTGTAATGTAGAAGCTCACGAAAACTGTATTAAGCCCTTTCTTGTTTTCTTTAGTCCCCATGTATTCTTTGGTTGCACCATGCAGTGCATAGAGCTTGGCTTGAAGTCAATAGCATCTTGCAGTCATTTTTTCCCTCCCAGGGGCCAGTAGTTGCTATTGCTTCTCGTGTACAAATATAAAAGCTAATACCAGTTCCCTACTAGATAGATACCCACAATTGAGGAAGTTTCAGAAAGCTGGTTGTGGTGGCACATACCTGCACTCCTGACATTTGGGAAACTGAGGAATGAGGATTGCTGTGAGTTCAAGGGCAGGCAGGGGTATATAGTGCGAACTTCAAAAAAACCTAATCAACATGACAAACAAAACTTCTAGAAACACCAGAAGACTACTCTTGACAATGAGGTCTAAGTGGTTCTGGGGGTGTGGAAAGGTGCCAGAAATAAATGATTTACCAACCTTCAGAAGCAAGAGCCATCCAGTTGTACCTCATAACTGAGGTAACCTATGTCTCTAGGGGCAACCATTGAGTTCTTTTTTTGGATCCATTTTTTAAAAGTGATGCAGAAACCAGTGTTTTCTGGAGAAACATGGATACCCATGACTGCAACCACATGAGTGACTGGCAAGAACTTTGTTGTGTGGGGAGGGTTAGGAATAACCCAGCTTATTATGCTTGTGTTTTTTGTGTTTGTTTTTCATATATGTATCAAGGTGGTAGACATTAAAACTCTAACTTTTCTTCTTCTTTCCTTCCTTCCCTGCCTTTCTTCCTTTGTATGTGTGCGAGCCTGTATGAGTTTGTGTGTACCATGTGCCTGCCGAGGCCAGGTGAGGATCTCTTGGAACTGGCAGTTAGTAGCTACCTGATGTGTGTACTGGAATCCAAAACCTGGCCCTCTGCAAGAGCATTAAAATCTCTTAATCATTGAGCCATCCCTCTGGCACCTCTTTTTTTTTTTTCAACAAGAACAAAATTACTTAAAATACTAAAAATATGCATCAATTTACTGGTGCTTTTTCCTTAATCAGTTTACAAACCAGTGATCCATTTTAAATTGACAGTTAACATAAATTGTTTTGTATCTCAATTCTTGTGTTCAGTGATTTTTTTTCTCCTCTTCCTAGCTCTCTATTGCTGATGTATAGTGACTATAATTTAGTGTTTAATTATTTTCTTTGCCAATTTTCTCTATGCAAAGTTCACATCTTGTTCCTTGCTATAGAAAATCCATTTGAAAATAAAATTCAGATTTAAATATTTATTATTTCTTTGAGAATTTCATACACTGTATTTTGATTTTATTCATCTCCTCCCCCAACCTTTCCTCCATCCACCCCCAGTTTTACTCACTCAAACTGTGACCTGCCTTTTTTTTTTTAAATAAACCATCAAGCCTCATTAATGTTGTCTATACATTGTTAGGTGTGTGCCCACCCACTGGAGCACGTGAGACCTGCTGGGACCATGCCCTTAATCTTCTTCAGCATCTATAAATTACCAATAGATCTTCAACTATGGATGGGACTCCATGTCCATTTCTCCCCTCATGCTGGAATTTTGTCTTATTTGGGCTCGCACAGGTTTTGTGCGTGCTGTCACAACCATTGTGATTTCACAAGTGCAACTGCCCTTTGTGTCTGGAAAACAACTGTTTCCCTACCTGCCACCTCTGGCTCTTAGTCTTTCAACCCTTGAGCCTTTTGAGGAGGGTAGTGTGATATAGATGCACATTTAGGCCTGGGCATTTTGCATTCTCTCATTGTCTGCATCTTGACTAGCTGTGAATCACTGCTTTAATCACCATTGATTGCAAAGAGAAGCTTCTTTGAGGTTTGAGAGATGCGCTAATTCATAGGTTTAATGAGACCTCATTAGGAGTTGGCTCAGTAGTATGTGTCACATTAGCAGAGTGATAGTAGA